GGCCCAGTAACGTCTCCATTTTTTTTTGAGACTTGTTGTTACTGTGTTTGGCATATTGAATATGTCACGGGTAGCTTGCAAGGCGAGACACTCTCGGTAGCTCACCAGGTTCTCCGAGAGGGGCAGAGGAATTGAACCCAGCTCGGTCTGGCTGACTACACACAAGGCAAACACCTTACCACTGTGGTATCGCTCCAGCCCATGTGGAAGCAAAGATTTAAAAAACAGGACTACAATAAACTAAGAATCTTCTTCAAAGAAGAAATACAAATGGTCAAAATGCACATGAAAAAATGCTCTAATCACTAATTGTTAGTGGAATACAAATGAAAAACAATAATAGATACCTTCTCATTCCACAGAGACTGGGAGACATGAAAAAGAACAAGAACAACCATGCTGGCGTGGATGTGGGGAGAAAAGGACTCTGATTAAGTGCTGGTGGAATGTTGAATGGTCATGGAAAATAGTATGGATATTCCTCAAATAAAAGAAATTAAGCTTGGGGGTATGGTGCCGCCAGCAGGTCAATCTGTACCTGTGAGGTGAGTGCATCAGCAGCCTGACGGCACCGTCAGACTTTCAGATACCCCAAAATTGCTGCTGTGCTTTTGCCCAGACCCCAAAAACTTGGGGCAAAGTTTACCAAGAAAGTAAACGGCCAAAAGTTAGGTATGTGGGAGACACACCCACAAACCACCTCCGGCACACTATATAATTGGAGGTATGGCCTCTCTGGTTCCTGATCAAACTGCTTAACGGCCATGATCCCAGAGACTCAGAAGCTAATCTCGGAACCCAAAGGCTTTTGGCAGAAATATATCCTGTTCCTGCACTAGGTTACTAATGCTGGGCCACTCCAGGTGGAAATAGGTTTTGTGCCTTGACCTGTTCCCCTTGGCAGCCCAGTGACCACCATCCTCCAGAGGGCACTGGACAATCAGGTTTGGGCCTGCAGTGACGAGACACGCGGGGCATCACCAGATGGGGGTGGAACGGCCCTTTCCTCCTCATCCCAGTGAGACTCCAAGGCGCTGCCTACAAATGACCTCTCTGGTTCCTGATCAAGCTAATTAGCAGCCATGATCCCAGAGATTCAGAAACAAATCTCGAAACCCAGCAGCTTTTGGCAGAAATGCATCTGGACTGCATACAAGGTGGCCGCCACCTCAGAGCTTATTGGAAAGCCAGGTATGAGCGAGCGATGATGCGGCACCTGCAGTCTCATGGGAAGGGGGACGATGGTACTGGTTCGTCCTTCACACTCTACCAAGGTCACGAGTTGCCCCTACGAGCGGCTCTCCAGCACAGCCATGGCTCCGGAGGCAAAAGGACTTAATCCAGGCCCGGAAGCTTGTGGCAGAAAAGTGAATGGACCATGTGTTAAACTTCGGCACCATGCTTCCCTGGGAGGGAAAGGGTGTGGTTCCCTTCTGCTTTCCCCCTCCCCACTCTCAGCAGCAAGGTGGCTGCTGCCTCAGAACTTATAGAAAAGCCAGGTATAAACCGGCAGTGCCAGGGCAACTGTAGTCTCATGGGAAGGGGGGGCGGTACCAGCTCGTCCTTCACGCCCTATCGAGGTCCTGAGCTGCCCCCCACGAGCAGCTCTCTGGCACAGCCATAACACCAGATGCACAGAAACCAATCTCGTAATTATCTGGCTCTTTACAGAAATCCAAAATCTTGGCCGCGTGACATTATATGATTCTCATAACCAGCTATAGAAAACAAAGTATTTCACAATGCCTTTTCAGCAATTCTGATTGTTGGGGAGGGGGCGGATTTCTAAACAATAATTGTGCATCTTTTGCCGAAATAATGAATGTAATCAAAGTAGAGAAGAGTTAAGTGGAAATCATCTGCCTCACAGTCATTGGGAGGGGTTGGAGGGGGTATATTGGGGTTCTTGGTAGTGAAAAATGAGTACTAGTGAGGGGAGAGGTGTTTGATCATTATATGACTGAGACTTAATCCTGAAAGCTTAGTAACTTTCCCCACAGTGATTCAATAAATAAATATAAGAAAAAAAGAAATTAAGCTTCCATATGACCCAGCAGTATTCCTCCTGGGAATATATCCTAGTGGCCCAAATACACAATGCAGTAAAGGCATCTGCACTCCTATATTTATTGCAGCACTATTCATAATGGCCAGGATCTGAAAATAATACAAGTGTCCAAGAACAGATGCATGGATAAAAAAATTATAATACATCTATAAAATGGCTGTGTATATTTAAAGAAGACGTGTGAAAACAAAAATACATTAAAGATATTCATATCCAGATATATAATTTTAACTTCCAGATTTGCAATTTGAAAATTATCATTACATAATTCTGTTCTACAAAATAAACAATTTAATCATCTCCATTAGGTCTTAAAATATAATATCCAGGGGGCCCAATAGATAGTACAGCAAGAGAACATTTGCCTTGCACACACTGCTGACCTGGTTATGATCCCTGGCATCACATGTAATCTTCTGAGTACACCAGGACAGGAGTAATCCCTGATTGCAGAAGCAGGAGTAATCCCTGAGCACTGCAGGATCTTGCCCCCCAAATAACAAAAGCATAACATTCAGAATGTTGTTTAAGTAATGCCTCTGGATACATTCCAATCTGTAAATCTCTCCACCAAAAAGTGACACCTTGAATTAAGCATGATGATCCTATGTGACTGAATGAGTAGAAGATATAAATTGTTCTTGATGGCAATTAAATAAAACCTTGCATTGCAAGGTTTTGTATTTTTACCAATGTCTATGTTATTAATAAAGGGATAAATTTTAGCACTTTAGAAATATGTTTGAGAGAATACTTTTAAAAGTAATAAAATAATCAAAAGGATAAATGTAGAAGAATAAGTACTAATGATTTACTTTACTCTTAACCCCAATGATTAATAAGTATCTCCGTAAACATTTAGTTCTCCTCTTCATTAACTAAAGAGTTTGAATTATTACATAAAATGAAACTTAAGATATATCTATAAATTAAATATATTTATTAATGTATTCATAACTTTTGTCAGTGATATAAAGCATGAGAAGTAGCTCTTAAAATAACCAACATAAAATATAATAACCTGCTTGCTCTTACTAGGAACTTTTTTTTCTTAGAAAGGCAATGCTAAGAGCACACAATTTAGTGACTATTTAATTGGGTATGTCACGATCTATCCTGGAATAAAGCATAAAATGTCCATTAAATTCATCAGATGATTTTATATATTGTTCTTTGCAAAGGCAAAGTAATCATAATCTGCTGTATTAATACTTCAATCTTAGAATTGGATAGGTTTTATAGAAAGGGAAATTCAGAAAAGATAAGAAGAAAAGCTGTCATCCAACTTCTCAGCTTGGTTTGCAGTCTACCTTCACAACATAAGACAGCACCTTGTCATTTTCTGACTCTGTGTCTCAGTCTGGAAAATTTGTAAAGTCCTACCTATGACTCTTTTTTTTTCTAAGACTGATGTGACTTTTAGTGAAAGTGTAATTATCATTTAAAGATTTGTGATAGCACTTTTAACTGCCTACCGAAAAGAAGTGGAAAGAGTGAAGTTAGTTAACATAATAAGAATATGTCATTTGAAGTTAGAGGTTAGCTGAAACCAATGGTCAAGTGTGATTTTTTTTTCAGTTATATTATCAATTTCAGGCTAACCCATCCCATAAAATCAATTTCAGGCTAACCCAACCCATAAAACTTCAATTCAAAATGCCTGGAACGTTATTTAAGTAAAAGCAAGAAAAAAGTCTGTTTGGCGATAATCAATTTCAAGAAGCAATTATTTCTTATGAGTTTTGCAACAAAATGTGTTAGGAGTAGGACTTAAACCATAATAGAAAATCCAAATAGTATACAGAGAAAGAAATTTTGAAGAAAACATATCAAATCAAAAATAAAATAATTTTCAGCAATTTCAGTAGCAATATCATCTTGTCAAGGATAACTGCTGTCAAAACTGTTCCCACATCCTCCAGTGAAGTCAATTTTGATGAAAAGGCTAAGAAAGAATCTGTTTAATAAACTACAGCGAAACAATTTTGCTCTTTATTTTCCTATCCATGTTTCTAAATTCTGAGATTTTTCTTGGGTTCGTTATCTTCTGGGGAATCAAAGATTCATCTTTATTGACATATATAGGTTAAAAATTAGAGTCTCTGTCTTGAGAACTGTTAGTGGGGAAAAGACCAAAAAAGAAAAATAATAAGAGGAAGCACACAGGCGTCACTAGAGCTTTCTGACACAAGCCCACGCAGCACAAGAATTAGTCTGGCGTCATTGTTCCATGTTCTCTGGATGCTGAAGAGTCTGACTTGTATTAGAAACCTCTGCATTCAATAAACAAAAATAGGGATAATAATGACCAAAGCGCTATTTGGAACAGAAAACAAACTCAAGCAGTATTTTCCACTGAATTAATTCAAGATTTTTATTAGTTGAGCTCTCACTTAGATTATTAGGCTCAGTTTGCTTCTAATTTCACTAGCCTCAGTTATTCAAAACAAAAGAAACCGTGTGTGTGTGTGTGTGTGTGTGTGTGTGTGTGTGTGTGTGTGTGTGTGACATGCATCACGGGCTTTCTACGTTCTACATTGCAAACCCATCAACAAAAGAAGGAAGATCTTAAGGGAATGAGTGGTTTCTGCGGGTTTAGGGAATGGAGAATTTCTCTATATAAACAAGAAGGTTTGGATTGGCCGTCTGCTTAAAAAAAAAAAGAAAAAGAAAAGAAAAGAAAGAAACAAAGAAAGAAAGAACGAAAGAAAGAGAGAAAGAAAAAAATTTACAGCTGACCACAAGCTTATAAATCCACAGACTGGGAGGAGGAAAAGAGAAACATTGCAAGTGACTCAAGTGTGTTGTGGCTGCAGTGTTTGTGGTTTAGATGAGGAACAAGCGCTGAGTGAAACCGAGGGCGGCTTGGGGTGTGTGCGGTGTGTGTGTGTGTTGGAGAGGGGTGGGGGGGAGGATGTCTGGTGTGATTTGTTTGGTGCTCAGAGCCAATAGAAATCCCAGACTGCGCTAATATCCCCATGCAGCGAGGAGGAGAGTCAGAGCGAAGTCTCAGGCTTCTTTCATGCCTGCAGTGGCTGCTAGCCCAGGGCAGAGCTAGCGGGGCACGTTCTTGGAGCTGCTCTCAGCTGAAGTGCTTCTCCTATGGGCATCTGCTGGAGTCCCGCTGAGGTCGAGCAGAAAGCGGCAGCGCAAAATCAAACTTAACCCCCTCTGTGGACTATTGAACTCAAAGGAAGGCGTGGGAGAGGGAGAAACAGAGAAGGGATTCGAGCAGGAGGCTTCTATCACATCATTGCAGGTATGCAGCTTGTCATGACTAATATGACACAGACAAGATTTCTGATTTTTACCTTCACAAGACACTTTAAAGAATTAAACATTGTTTGTTCCATTTCAGGTTGGAACAGAAAGCACTGGGTGTCTAGCCTGAGTAACCCTAAATAATTAAATCTACTATCATGTCTTTGGGGACCATGAAATTTATTTACCCGTTAAATTAAATGAGTACAAAGATCTTCAAATTAGATCATAATCTCTTTTTTAAAAAGAACAATAACATTAGTACCTGAATCTTGTCATGAAACCCATTTGTACTACTTGGTGTCCTCTGTTATTATTATGATCTGTTTCCAATTGTTAGAAAACAATGTCTGAACTTGCCCTACTTACCTATCAAGTTAAAAATCTCCCCATAGAATAGGGAATGCAATAAACACGGACATAATTTTGATTTTTAAAGTTTATGGCCAAGGAGCACTAAGCTGATGGGTGGAAAATTATCAGCATGCTAAAGGACAAAAGAGAGAAAGGCATGACTGAAAAATGATTGTGATTTTCTTCTTATATTTATCCTTTTATTGCCTTGTTAGTTATAAATATGTTTATATTCTGCATCTACAGGCAGAATAAGCTGCAGGACTTTATGTATTATTAAATTAAAAGTATTGAATTGAAATTGTGACATAAAAAAGATACTTTTAAGGAAGTGGCAATTTGATTTGATGTTCTTTGGTTCTAAAATTGGTACACTTTGTATACTACTTATTTCTTTTCCTTTCTTCCTTTTATTTTGAGACACAAATTTTATAAAAACACAAACCATGGTGTTTGATCATGTTCAAGGATGTATTAAGAAAGATACTCGTTTTGCATATCGTAGTGGAGATTTTGTGTGTTCTTCATTTCATGAGATGACTATACTGGAAATGTGTGCTTAACTATACCACAGAGTCAGGAAAACCATTCATATATATGATGTAGATAAATTTGTGAGAATTAGCAAGATAGGCATGGCAAGTGAATATCATATTTAGGAGAAAATACTTTTACTTTACGATAAATATTTTTCCATTTTTCTTTTTGTATTATAAATAAGCTTGACTAAAAGATATACATATTAAAATAAGTACAAAATAATTGATCTAAAATTCTATTAGTAGTTGGAATAGTAGCTTTGTATTATTATGAAGACTTATCAATCTTCCAAAACTATAATACCTGAAATAAATTGAGGCCTACTTCTCCCTTACTATTCAACTCCAAAAATGTTGAGTATGTTGATACAAAGCAACTAAGTGAATGTGACATCAAATGTATATTCTATGGACTAAGTGTTGATGATAGCTTTTTAAAGATTAATGTAAGCAATGTTTTTGTTTTGTGCTATCATTCTTCCTCAACAGAGGTAATCAGAAGTTCATTCCCTATGTATCTTAGCCAGCAAGAATTTTAGATACTCCTTTAAGTAAAAAGTTTGGTAAAGTTTAAACAAGGTCCATGCCTTTAAATCTCTTTAAAGTAAACACCTCTTCCTTAGCCCTCTTCTTCTAAAGCAAAGGAATGGAAATAGACTCTGAGTCTGGGCGCCAAGTTCTTACTGATATGAAGAGGACTGGCGGCTTGGGTCAAGGACAAACACTGAAACACTGCAGGGCACAGGCACACAACAGATTAGACCAGACACATTTGTTCTCAGGTGTTGCTAAAGTAATCATGTCAGGGTCAGGCATTTCCTCAGTATCAGGGTCTTTTAATTAAGAGAAAAGTAAAACATAAATATAAAATATAAAAATGTAAAAACCTTTGGAAGTATACTTAGAATTCTACTTGAAACAAATTATACAAAGAACCCACAAATAAGAGAAACTTCTTTTGAAGGGTACAGTTTGCAGGTACAGACTAAACTCTGGGACCATCTATTTTTATGCTTTGGTGATTCTCTTCCCACCATATTTTTCTAGTTTTAGAGAATTGAATACACAAATAGGATAAGAATTAAATGTAATAATTCGTCATATTATAATACTGTTCCTAGAAGGTTAATCTAATTGCTCACAACTCTAGTATGTTCCCCATTTTGCCACCACTTCTCGGTTTGGAATATATCATTGCTGGGTCAGTTTTTTTGAGGACTCAAGCTATGGTGGGACAGTGATTTGCAAAGCCGATCCCAGAGCCATGTGGAAGAGGGCTGAAGCACATGGACATGAAGTGAGTTGGTATAAATATCATAATCTATAATATAAATCCCAGAATCAAAGGAGTAAAGAGTTTATTTACTCATCTTAGCTTCAATATAATTTTACTAAATATTTCTAGAATATTTTAAGAACTCTTAAAGTATTCTGGAATACACATACCTCACACACAGGCAGGGATGAAAATAAATACATTTGATGTGCTGGTAGCGTTCCTGTATATTTAGGCCAGGAGAGGGCAGCAGGCAAAGTGAGAAAAGTGATGGCTAATCTTGAGTAGGGCTGGAGCGATAGCACAGCAGGTAGGGTGTTTGCCTTGCACGCATCCAGCCTGGCCGAGTCGGGTTCGATTCCTCCACCCCTCTCAGAGAGCCCAGCAAGCTACCGAGAGTGTCTCACCCGCACAGCAAAGCCTGGCAAGCTACCCGTGACGTATTCGATATGCCAAACACAGTAACCAGAAGTCTCACAATGGAGACGTTACTGGTGCCTGCTCAAGCAAATCGAGGACAGCGTTACAGTACTAATCTTGAATAGGTGGTGAGACTCCAATGTCCAAAAGGTTTAAAAAACTGTCTCCCTAAAGTTATGTACTCTAATCCCTCTCATCTCTTTGGAAAGCAGAGTCTGGAGTGTTAGTAAGAGATACTGTAGCACTGTCCTCCCGTTGTTCATCGATTTGCTCCAGCGGGCACCAGTAATGTCTCACAACAAATGTCTCACAAAAAAACATCCCTTTGGAAAGCAGAGTCTGGAGTCTTACTAAGGGATTCACCATTCAAAAAACTTTAGTTTTACTTTTGCTTTTGGACTTGGTGCTAAATGGTAAAATAAGAAATGCAGCACATTTAATAATAATTCCGTTTCTCTTTCTTAATTAACCACTCTTTTCAAGAAGCCTTCAATCTGCTTGGAGAAGGAGGGAAGAGATAGCAGAATAGGAGGAAAGATAAGGACATTAGGAGGTTCTTATTTCCAGAGAGGTTGGTTCTCCTGAAAGTATTGTTGAGTTCTTTATTAGTGATTTAACTTTCATTTTAAGTACGTTAAATGAAATTTCAGGACCACAAGGATATATTTTGTGCAATAACTATAAATAGCCCCTTAGGGATCCTAGCAAATTTGCTTTCAAAACAGAACTGGAATATATTGAGCCGGGCAAGGTATGGAGAGTATCTCGCCCTCACAGCAAAACCTGGCAAGCTACCAGTGATATATTCGATATGCCAAAAACAGTAACAAGTCTCACAATTTGTTATGAGACATTACTTGTGCCCGCTCAAGCAAATCGATGAATAATGGGAGGACAGTGCTACAGTGCAATGGTTTCCAGAGTTTAAAATGTATACTTAAAAAATAAGAATTAGTCATCTAACCTTTAAAAATTTTTTTTATTTGGGGGACACACCTGTCTCTGTACTTAAGGATCATTTTTGGCAGGGCTCAGGATATGTGGTGCTGCAGATAGAACCCAGGTTGGCTGTGTGCAAGGCAAGTTTCCCAAGCCTTTGTATTATCCCTCCAGCCCTCATATACCTCTTAACAACTTGCAAATGGTCAAATCTACTTAATTATAAAAACCAGTTCAGATTTTTTCTTAATTTTTTCTCTTTTATGCTAGCAGTGATTGGATCAGAGCTCAAAACTCAGAGCCTCACACATGCAAGGCAAGTGCTATAATGCTTATTTACATCACTGACCTTTCCTCAATCTTTTTAAGACTCACATATAATAGTCTATTTACTGTGCTGCTTATTGTCATAGATAAATTATAGTCCGAAGAAAGTCTCTAAAATGTGTATAAAAGAGGGAAGTGACTCTGAAAACTCTGCCTGTAATTTTCACTAATCTTTCTTCATGGTTGATCCTAGTTTAGTTTGGTTGGTTATTTTAGATCTAGGGACATGATTGTCTCTTTTCCACAGTTAATTTTAGCTGCTCTACAAAATGAGCTACTATATACAAAAGCCCCAAAGAAAGCTCAGAGGAGGCTTTTAAAACAATGTCTGAAAGACATAGAGTTAAAGCATTCTGAATTTTTTTAAAAAGGAAGAAGGGTCAGAGCAACAGGTACACCAGGTAGGGCAGTTGCCTTGTATATGGCCAATATGGGTTTGATGCCTGGCATCTCATACAGGCCCCCAGCGCTGCCAGAAGTAGTTCCTGAGTGCAGTGCAAAGAGCAACCACTGAGCATCAGTGGGTGTGATCCAATACGTAAAATTATAAAAAAAAAATTGTTAAAAGAAGAAGAAATAAGTTACCCACAAGAAAGGATAAACTGGAAGGGATATTGGACTAGGGATTGACACACGGGTGAGGGAAGGCGTCACACCTGTGTTAAGAAAAATAGTTTCACTACTGCGGCCACGCGACATCATATGTTACTCATAATCAGCAAGAGAAAACAAATTGTCTATTGTTGCCTTTTTGGCAGATCTCTGTGTTGTGGTAAAATCCCAAATAATAATGGTGGGTCTGGTGTCAAAATATTGAATGTAATTAAAGTAGAGAGAGAGTGATGTGAAAATCACCTGCCTCACAGGTAGGGAGAGGGTGTGGGATGGGGAAGGGTACACTGGGGTTTTTGGTGGTAGAAAATGGGCACTGGTGAAGGGACAGGTGTTTCATCATTGTATGACCGAAACTTAAGCCCGAACGTTTTGTAACTGCTCTCACGGTGATTCAATAAAAAAATTTATAGTACTGTATAGCACTGTCCTCCCTTTGTTCACGATTTTCTCGAGCGGGTAAAAGTAACGTCTCCATTGTGAGACTTGTTACTACTTTTAGCATATCAAATACGTCACGGTTAGCTTGCC